AAGATAGGTCTTTTGAAGGTGCTTCAAATCTATCTGCTTTGATAACTGCCAAACTGGTGGTTTTTATAGCTGCCATGGTTGTAAGTCTGCTGCTGGTTTTCACAGCCACTATGGAGCTAGGGAGAGGGATGTGGAAATGGAGCAAGCTAAAGTGACAAAAAGCTCTCTATTGTTACCCCTATTCAGCAGCTCTTCTTAAATAAATGCTCCTTGAGTTATTGCAAACCTTTAGCTAATTTCCAGAGTTATGAGAAAGTTGATTTTTACAATTTTCATCAACGTTATTGTTGCCTTTAAAGACAAACAGATTTTTGGAGTTCTTACTCTACCATTTATGAAGATCTACTTCAAATTCATAATATTTTAACCTGATACTTCCTGCTCAGGTATTTCTTGGTTTTGTTTGCCTGTAATGATAAGCCTTTGTGAAGCTGCCCCTATGTTATAAGACTTCTGGGCAAAAGCATCTCTGATATTTCCATACTAGAGGTGGATTATTCTTTCATAAAACAGATTATGCTAATTTTACATATAGTAACTGTATGATACAAAAGAAGCCATAGATTAAAACTATACTGTCCTGCCAAATAAACCCCTTTTTGCTAATCTCATCCAATTTCTTGAGCTTCTAGTATACAGGGTAACATTCTAACCCATACCTACATCTCATATGCATCTCTTCCTCAAGGACATGGCATATAAATTCATTGTTAGCCCCAGCCGCCCCCTCTGCCTGCCCTCTCAGCCCTTCGCTCACTCTGTTCCTAGCTTTGCTGCTAAGAGGCTGGATTAGGCTCCAAGGTATAAAAATGCCAGGGTAAGTAGGCCAGTGTCCATGCCCTCCTCCTCTTTTTTGTGCTTTCTCAGGAGCTCTTATACGTACAGATTGATGGGTTATAACTTGCACGTAACCAGATTTCCAATCCTTTTGTTGTTTTTGCTGCTGTTTATCCTTTATCAAAGTTAGAGATTCAACTTAAACATTTAATTTTTATAACACTGATCACTTTTTTGTCAATTTCTTTATCTGTGTTTCTTTCACATTGCCCAAAACACGATGAAGTTAGGGGTATTAGGTTATTTTTCTTTGTATCTCTAGGGCTTAACATAGGCCTGGTGCATATTTAGCTTTCAGTAAATGTATTTTAAATTAATGAATGCCTACATTTCCTAGTAAATTCTACAGAGAGAGACCTTGTTTAGACTTCCCAACATGAAGCTAAAACTCTACATTCACATCTGTAGTTGTGATATCCCCATCAGCTTAAGAAACTCGAGTGTTCCAGTCTCTCTGTCATTCTAAAGGTCATGGCTTACAAGGTGCTTCTCAGTGTGACACTCATTCACCTTTCCAGCTATATTTCCCATCAACCTAGAATCCTAACCTAAGCTTCTCTGGTCCACACACATCATATGTTTTTGTTTATGCCTCGTACCTTTGAAAATTAATGTTATTTTTTCACTTCTACCATAAGAAACTTGTATTTATTCTGAAGGGCCGGGTGAAATTTTTCTCCTTCTCTAAACTCTGCTTTTACTTTCTTGGTAGATTTGGTTTCCCTTTTCTCTTTGTTCTAATAATACTTTGGACATCCCTTTCCTTATTACATTATCTTTATCAAGTTGTAATTATTTATTTATCTATCAGTTCTTATCAGATCAGTAGCTAAATCAGTTCTAATAAGAACTTACCTGCCAAATGAAGGCGCCCAAGCAATGTTTGATGAATGAGAAATGAATGTTTACTCCTCAACTAGATTGCAAATATCCTGAAAGTTGCAGAGTGTATTTATTCTTTGTGCTCTAAGCATTGTCCTGGCCCATAATATTATGAACAGGCTCATAATATTGTTTTCAATGAATAAATGAGTGATGTCAGAGAGTATATCTACTAAACCATGGAAAAGTTCAAGGACTATCCTGACCAGATCACAGATGCAGTGTTTCACGTATACCGAAGTGGCTCTTGTTGGCAGGACCACAGAGGGCCTATGTGTGAAATGGAAAAAGGGTCCCCATCTAGCTGGAAACAGTTGTAAAAATGCAGGCCTTGTTGAACAGAGAAGACTTTGTACAAGGAAAAAGGAGCCCTATTTTGGAAGAAGCAGTCTCATGCCAGGGACAGGGCTTAGCAATCTCAGCAGAGGGTGGATTTCACACTCTTGCTCCACCTTTGGACACGTGTGTGTCCTGTGTGACAGCGCTGCTTGTCATATACTACAAAGGACTAACTTTCTCTCTCACCAAGAGCCATTCCATTCCTTAATGTGGGAAGAGGGTCCTACTTCTATTGAGAACGAAATATCATCCATCTTCAATTCTTGGAACAACCCATTTTTTCCCCAGGGCACATGATCTTTTAAATAAGACAAGGATAAGTCAATCTCATATGACCTTTGTAATGGTATATTTGATGAGGAAAATAATCCCTTTTTTGTCATAGCCTAATTTTTACACACCTTGTGCCAGGGCTCATCATTTGGGGATCTTATCTAACACTTTTATTTTTTTGGTTTAAAATGTAAACTGGAAATATATTTTGTAAGTAACTCAGAGTTACTCATCTTGGAAATGATTTAATTCTAGGAATAACTCATCTAACTCTGAAAGAATACCCTGATTTGAATATTTTTATTACTTCACAAATGTGAAAATTGAGAGGATTTGTCTTTTTTTTTTAATTTTTAAATTTTTATTTATTTATTTATTTTGAGATGGAGTCTCGCTCTTTGCCAGGCTGGAGTGCAGTGGCATGATCTTGGCTTACTGCAACCTTCACCTCACAGGTTCAAGCCATTCTCCTGCCTCAGCCTCCCAAGTAGCTGGGACTACAGGCACACACCACCACACCCAGCTAATTTTTGTAAATTTAGTAGAGAAGGGATTTTACCATGTTGGCCAGGATGGTCTTCATCTCTTGACCTCGTGATCTGCCTACCTCAGCTTCCCAACATGTTGGGATTACAGGCGTGAGCCACTGCGCCTGGCCAGATTTGTCTTTTTAAAAGTAAACAGTCAAGACAAATTTCTGGGAGGACAGCAACTACTTACCTTGTAAGAAGATGTATTCCCTCACCAGATGACAAGAAGGGAAGGAGATAGGTAGCCTCCTGGAAAGTAAGGACTGCTAGTAGAGAGGGAAAAGGCTTTTTTAACATACATTTCTTATTCCTTCAGAAGTTATCATTTACTTCATATGCTCTGTCTCCAGGACAAAGATGTCCCAGTGGTTTTTCTGTGTTCAAATAAACAACTGTTGATCATCCTGTCATTCCAGTTCTACCCATGTTTTAACAAGATTCGGCTTCCACCAATTGGCACACAAGTTATGTTCCCCAAATTTTGATTGATTAGAAATAAACTTCCAGAAAGAAGTATTGTTATACCTGCATACTTTGGCGAGTTCATAAAAGACATTTAAACCCTAGTAGATAACTGAACAATAACATTAACAGGCTTATCAACTGCATTCTGGGAGGCACATGATACAAGTAAGAGAGAGAAAACTCTTCCCTCTTTTTCTTGAGCGCAGAGCTAAGAGTTGACAAAATTTGGAAATGGGTAATGTTTGCTTTTGGACTCTCCCTCCTGAATTAGCATGATCTTAAAATCTGTAGCCCAAGGTTATAACCCAGACCAAAGCTCTGACAGATGGCTCTCAGTTCATGTCTTTCCAATTATGTGTAGTGAGCAAAGCACACAGGACTCCTAGGATGAGAAGGGCATGAAAGGACGACTGTGATGGAAGATCAGAAGGGGTGGTAGATGCCTGCCCAGAGAATGGAAGCACATGTTGTTGATTTGACTATCTTCTTTCACAGTCATACTCTTCAAAACATGGTCTGCTTTACCTGAGTCATTTTAGGCAAATGTTGTATCTCCAACTGTATGGTGATTTGTGGAGAAACAAAATGCAAAATTGGACCTGAGAAGACCTTCAAAAAAGTATCTTTAGTCTCATGCTGAAAAGGTTTTCTTGTAGCATGCATTATCTCTTTGTCTCCTCCAAGGACTGTTTCTCTTTTACTAATTTAAAATATTTTATTTGAAGTTTGATTGATGTAGTATAATATACTAAGTATATGTCGCTAAGTATTTCTGGTAAAAGAATTATCAGTACACAGAGGAAACAGGACAGTAAGTTGCACCACATGTCCACAACATGAATTCAAGGTATTACATCACTACTTTTCTTGACATTGGCCGTCTCATGGTGCTCGCTCCTCATTCATATTTAGAAATCACTCTTACATTTCCTCAGCTCCACATCCTTTTAGGGGATGAGCACTTTTAGGTTAGACTATAAGAGGTTCAAAAACATGCTAAGATGTTATATACTCCCTGTCTATATGTATAAATGTATGTTTTTTTTCCTGTAAAAAAATGTTCCATAGCTCTCAGATTTTCAAAGGTATCTGTGATTCAAAAACAAAAGACTTAGAACCACTACCTGAATGCAATCTCTTGAGAAATAGTATACTAGGAACAGTAATATCAAGTTTAGGTGTTGTGACTTCTTTATTCACTTCTGAAGAAATTCTATTGTCAATTTAGATCAGAAAAGTTTTAGTGTAGCCATTTAAGAGAAATGAATGTATACAGTTCAGGTAGACATGGTCAATTAAAAATCTCAATGCATTTACATTAGAGTGGTTTTAGAGAAGAATGATACAGTTAAAAGAACACAAAATAATTCAGAATATTGGATCATGATAATACCTCTGATATTTGTTGTTTGTCTTTAATTTAATGCTAATGTCTAATTATGTAAAATATTTTACTGTCCAGGGTTTCAAGTGCCAAACTTAATAATTTTTCTCGCTTGGAGCCAACACTTCACCTTCTGGGTGTGCAGTTTGATCAGAATGTGGCCCATGGCATCATCACAGAAAAGCCTGGGGTGGCAACAAAGCTTTTATATCAATTGTACATTGCTCTTCAGAAAAAGAAGAAAAGTGGATTGACTAGATTGGAGATGCAAACCATGCAGCCTCTGACAAATTTAAGACTTCAAAACATGAAAAGGGATACTTTTCCAGAGGTAGGTACATAAAAAAGCGTAATAAGCATGTCACAGTGTAAAACTTGGTAAAGAGAAATGACAATAATATTGAATTCACAAAGAAGCCTCATTAGATATATATATATATATATATCCCTTACATATGTTACTGGCCTTACTTGGGTTTTATTTTATATTCATGTTTTGAATTTATTTACCCATTTTTGACATCTCTCTCTATCCTATCCATATTGGCAATAGCTTATCAAACTCTTTTTATAATTTCCAGTACTTTTATTGTTGTTTTTGAGAGTCAGGGCCTTGCTCTTTTGCTGATGCTGGTCTCGAACTTCTGAGTTCAAGCTGTCCTCCCACATGAGCCTCTCAAGCAGCTGGGACTACAGGACTAGTACTTTTTGTGCCTGCTCCTCTCTTCCTGTGTCTACCCTATCATTTCTGCTACAGATCTTCTTATCAGCTACTGCAGCAACCTGCTAAAATGTCTCTTAATCTTCAGTCTTTCTGGAAAAGTCAATCAACTGCTAAATGAATCTTTCCTAAATTTAATTTTTATTGGATTCTTCTGCTCAGAAACCTATTTTTACTTTTTTCTAGTCCTCAGCATAGTGTTTCTTTCTTCTCCATTAATTGACAATCTGTGCTTAAACACGACTATTCCTGCTCTTCCTTCCCCCACACCCAAACTCACCCTTCTCATCTCTCCTCTTCCCCAAACTGTTCTTCTCTGTCTACTGTACAGCCCAGTACATGTGGTTTCTTCCTTTGGAACTCTAGAGTATAATTCTCACATTCTTGGTTTTACCCTCCTGATACTGATATTGTTGGCTAACTATTCATTATTTATTTGTCATATGATCTTACCAGATTTTTAGTACATCAGATTTGATAAATATGTCTAGTACAATGCTTCAAACATTGTAAATACTCATTAAATGTGTTACTGACTAATTTATATGACTTTTTAGTTGACAGTTCTCCCCAGTTCTTATGCAATTCCCTATGGTAAACAAAGTGCATTAACTTTTACAGGGCATCTGGAATAATCTTGAGTGCTGCACTGATGCAAAACAGTAAATATAAATGGGCAGAATTATATTTTTAAATTTAATTTTTGAAGCAGCAATGACATAATAGATATGAGGGCCATCTCTGTGTTTATATTTGCCCGTTCTTCATGGATATCATTACAAGTCTGGTAGCAGAATGGACTCAGCACTCTGAGAACTAGAAATCCGATAAGGCTTAATATGAATAATTTAATATTGCATTAGGCCTCCTTCACTTGCAAGCTGGTTAGCTTTGAGCCATCCTCTAAACAGCTCTCAGCTTCGATATTCCCAACTATAAAAACAAGGATGCTTATTTCTTTCTGCCTCAGAGTTCAGAATTGGACATATTTGCAGCTTCAAGAAGAAGTGTGGATTAACTGGAGTGGAGTTTATATCCAGTTTATATATAATAAACTGTAAAGCAGTCAACAGTAGCAAGTACTATAAGTGCTGTGTAGATGAAGACAAGAGCCTATTAGCTCATTTGATGTTGGTCACGGGTGAACTTCCATAGTCAATCGTTCATTCACTGAACAAATATTTATTGGGCTCCTACTTTTTGTCAAGCACTTGTGCAACAAACACACAGGAAAAGCCCCAACCCTCTTAGAGCTTATGTATTAGGGAGAAAATCATGTTCTATTGGAGTGATATGGAATACAGTGAGTTAAAAAGGACGTTGGAAATGAGGAAGAGGGTAGCATATATTATTCTTTCAAGAAATGTAGAGGTAAAGAAGAGAACAGTAGGAGAGAAAAGATCAAGTGAAGTATGAGATTGCTTGTTTTATGGACCGAGAGACTGGGCAACTTGTCAGTTGAAAAAAGAATCAGTGACAGGAGAGATAAAAATGGTACAAGAACCAGATGGGAAAAGGCCCTCTGGGATGAAACGAGGAGTATGCAGTCAATGGTTTGTATGGAAGAGGTGATATCCTAGGAAAGAAGTAGAAATGTCATCTTCTTTGATACTAGATGAAAAGAGATGCAGGTAATATTAATAATGGTTGAAATTTATTGAACCTACCTAGTGACATGCCAAGCCCTGTTGTTAGGCGCTTTATAAATGTTATCTCACTTAATCTTCACAACAGTCATAAAAGATAGGTACTTTTAATATTCCATTCTGCAGATGATGAAACTAAAGCCCAATGGATTAGCTAACTCGCACAATTTCATGCAGCTAGTAGGTAGTAAAGCTGAAACACAAACGTAGGAAGTTTTAATGTTTCTTCACTTTTTACTAAGGAGTGGCTAAGCAATGGGAAGAATCTGGCTTCTTATATTATCTCTTATATGTTAAAATTGGCTTAATGAAATTATTTCTGCAAAAATGTATTTCTAAGAGTATAAATACCATTTACTGAAAATTAAACTCAGTTAAAAAGTTTAACTCTACAAGTATATATGAGGCTATTTTGAAAGAAGGAACACAAATAGTAATGTTTTTGTAATTGCACTTACATCAATTAAGAATATGAGTAATTGAAATGGGGCTTGAATTTAGCCTAACAACAATAGTAATTCAAAGAATTTCATTTTGAAGGCAAATTTTATTTGCGCTTATAATGAAAATGTACTCTTCATTCTTTAATAACAAAATCTTTTGAAATGCTTTTTCCATTTAGAGACTTAGACACATGATACCACGTCAAACTGATTTCAATCTGATGCGGGTTACATACAGGTTTCAAGAAAAATATAAACACGTGAAAGAAGATCTTGCCCATTTGCATTTTGAGGAACTTGAAAGATTTCAAAAACTCAAGGAAGAGCAAAGATATTTTGATATCAAAAAGGTTTCATAGAACTATTTTTTCAGAAGTTCATTAGTAGTACATAGTATACTGTTTGTGATTTATGCCTATAGCACACATTGCCTAAGCAGTAATGTAGCACAAGTTGTACTTTCCTGATGCGTGACTGTCCTGCCCTACTCTCACCCTTTCTCTCTCTCGCTTGTTCCTTTTTTCTCTCTCCCTTGCTCCTTTTCTCCATCCTGACTCTTGCTGACTGTCACCCCTACTTGTGGCTGAGAACAAGAACTGCCATCCTCTGGAGTAGCAAGACAACTGGATCTCCTTCACTGGTAGAAATCAATGTTTCAGCTGCTTTAGTGATGAAAGGTTGCTACTAGCTACCCCATTGGTCAAAGGCACGTGACCATTATCACCACTGAGGGAGATAGATCAGACATTGTCCCCTCGCTTTCTCCTCTTTTGCAACCACTTGGTCTTTTGGTTCTGCCCCATTTCTCTGTTCTTGGAAATGTGAGGTCATTCTTTGCTTGCATACTTCTTCAATCACCCTGAACAACTCTTAACTTCTTCCTGGCCCTTGCTTCTTGCTTTGACTAACTCTCTGCTCCTTCTCAAATTTCTTTAAAACTCTTTAAAGATCTTCTGTGCCTTTATGGATGAGAGAATAATGGTACATGGAATCATTAAAGATTTTTCAGAACATTTCAGGTGACTGGGCATATGGAATGTGTAAACTACAGGCAAAAGAATTATGTAGTTCTTCCCATTGTACTGTAAAATCACTTTTTAAATTCATGTATTTATTTGGAATGATAAGAAATTAACATATTCTGAATGTAGTCAGCTCCTTGTGGGGAAGAAAAGAAAGATGAGAGACAAACTGGAAGATCAGGTAATTATCTTACTTGCCAAAGGGTGAATAAAGGATTATACTTCCCTTTGGTGTTACATGATAAAGAGACAAAGCACTCTTAAAGTAGTGTTTGAGACCAACTGCTTTGACTCTTTATGTGGAACCAGCCTGTCCATTCATGCCAAGCCCAATGCAGACAGTCTCCAAGAAAGTTGAGGAAAAGGAAATATGATACAATTAAGTAGTCTGAAATAAATTATGTTCAAATAATCACAGGGAGCAAATAAGGCAAAAGGGAGACCCTGTGTCTTCCAGATCTTCTTAAGAAAGAAAAGATAAACATATTGCAATTAAACAAATATTTATATTTTGGAAAATGAAATGAAGAAAATGATCCACCATTTATGGCTTTTTAGTGGTAAATTGAAATTTTTTATCTTTAGACATGGGAGCTAATGATCCTATTAGTTCTAATATAATGTATTAGTAGTAAAGTAATGATTAGTTTTACATGTTACTTCTTAAATCATTTACTTTTAAAATATTTTATCTGATTTTCAGATCCTTTTTTTTTTTCAGTTACATTCTCCTACTTATATTCTTCTTAAAATAACTACTGCCTACATACAGAAGAGATCATCCAATAATGATACCATATAATTTAGTGTTAATTCAATGTATGAGGTTGCCTCTGAATTCATTGTTTAAGTGTGGCTGGTTTTGGAGAAGTTTGTCATTTTTATTGGGTTTCCCAGGAGCCCTGCTAGAAATTGCTTCCTAGATAGAATTTTCTCATTGGACCATCTTCAGGGAGAGAATATTTTTCTTCCCATGCTTGGTAAAGTCACGACAGTAGGATTGGAAAAGAATTATACTCTTATTTATATTTGGGACATCTTTATTGTCCTTTTAGTATCATCACACAGAATGAAAATATAGACATTTAATAGATATAATTTGCAGATTCCAGAATTGTGTTTTAACATTATGCTTTTCACAATAAGTGATATTGACACCTGCTTCTTAACATTACACAGTTGTGACACCTAGTCCCTTGGCTAATTGCTGGGTTCTGAAAATTTCAATAGATAAATTTTATATATTTGTACCTGTGAGTGTATTATATTGCCTGTTCTGAATGTTATTCTGAATAACTAAACTAATGTATATGGGATATTCAGCAATACTTAAACAGAAGACGACAAAATGAAATAATGGCCAAAATCCAAGCAGCTATCATACAGATACCTAAACCTACATCAAATCGTACTTTGAAAGCACTCGAGGCCCAAAAAATGATGAAAAAGAAAAAAGAGGCAGAGGTAAGTGATAATCCTTTACTCTTGTGCTATGTTTATCTTAACTAAATAATGGTCTTTCTCTGAAACATATAGAGACCTTCCAAAACTTCACACTTGCCTTCCAAACTGTCTCTGACCTTGTCCTTTCTCATTTAGAATTCCTCCACTCTGTGCATATTCAACTCATGTTATATTGTTATTTGTTCAGAACAAAGAATGTAGCTTTAGGCCAGAAATGACAAACTCCTATTAAATGGCAGTCTAGACTCCTGTGTTGAAAAGGATTCTGTGGTCAATAACAAACCAGGTCAGAATAGCTGCTGTTGTGATGGATCATGTCTTACCCATTTGTGTTGCTATTAAAGAATACCTGAGGCTGGGTAGTTTATAAAGAAAAAGAGGTTTATGTAGCTTATGGTTCTGAAGGATGAAAGATTCAAGAATGGGTATCTGGTGAGGAAGTTAGGAAGGGAAAGGGGAAGTCAAGCCAGGATGTACAAACATTACATGGGGAGAGAGAAAGTGAGAGTGGGGGATGGAGGGAGAGAGAAGAGAGAAGGTGCCAGGTTCTTTTTAAACAGCTCTCTTGGGAACTAACAGAGTGAGAACTCACCCTTAGGGAGAGAATCAATCTATTCATGAGGGAGAAAGAAAGTGAGAGAGAAGGTGCCAGGCTCTTTTTAACAACTAGCTCTCATTGGAACTAATAGAGTGAGAACTCACCCCCAGGGAGGGTATCAGTCTGTTCACAAGGGACCCACCACGTGACCCAGACACCTCCCATTAGGTTCCATCTTCAACATCAGGATCAAATTTCATATGCTGTTTTCAGGGACAATCATCCAAACCATAGCAGGTCATAACTGCCTTGAGTACAGCAGGGCCAGTCAAGGTACATATAGCATACATATGCCTTTCCTACTATATGTTTTTACTCAATTCCTCCTCATCACCACACGCTATTTTTCTATGAATCCCAGGAATATTAAGTGACTTGTTGCTATCAGTATATTTAAATTTAAGATACCTCTATACCAGTGACATTTTACTAGACCACATCAACTGTCAATCATTTCGGTAAGCTACAATCTGATTTTCTTTCACAGGAGAGCAGTGTTATAGTTTGATACTGATTCCTGCAATTCACACTGCATACTGCTGCAATGATTGCTAATATTCTCCCATGTGACCTACAAAGATGATTAATAACTACCATTTATTGAACATGTGCTGTATGTCAAGCCGTGGATAGGGCACTTCACTTTATCTTTAATTTGCAAACAACTCTCTAAGTAGGATATTATTTTTCCTGTTTTGTAGATGAGGAAACAGACCCAGAAAGTTGACATGTTTTACCCACTGCTAGTAAAGCAGAGACTGACAGATCTCTCTGATTCGTAAATGCATTGAATTTTACATTAATCCACATTTTTTTTGTTTTTTAAATACTACCAAAATATCCTGTACTTGGATTCTAAAATTACCACCTACAGAGGCTTTTAGCTGACTCCATTTCAGTATCTACCTCTCATATGTCCCTCAGTTGATTAAAGTTTTGTTGTTGTTGTTGTTTCTTTTTTGAGACGGTCTTACTCTGTTGCCCAGGCTGGAGTGCAGTGGTACAATCATGGATCGCTGCAGCCTTAATCTCTCAGGCTTAAGTGATCCTCCCACCTCAGCCTCCTGAGTAGCTGGGACTACAGGTACTCAAGGCTGGTCTCGAACTCCTCGGCTTAGGCAATCCGCCAGTCTCAGCCTCCCAAAGTGCTTGGATTACAGGTGTGAGCCTCTGTACCCGGACTGATTAAAGTTTTTAAAAAAGTATTTGTAAAACACAAAGGTGAGCTAAAGTTAATCTTCAGATAACAAATTAATAGTGTAAATAAGGTTGCATGAGAAATGTTTACAACACCTGAGACAACAATTTTTAAAGAAATATTTGACTTTGGGAAGCCAAGTTGGGAGGATTGCCTGAGGTCAGGAGTTTGAGACTAGCCTGGCCAACATGGTGAAACCCTATCTCTATTAAAAATACAAAACTTAGCTGAGTGTACTGGCACATGCCTGTGATCCCAGCTATTGGGGAGGCTAAGGCAGGAGAATCACTTGAACCTGGGAGTCAGAGGTTGCCTTGAGCGAAGATTGTGCCACTGCACTCCAGCCTGGGCTACAGAGTGAGATTCTGTCTCAAAAAAATAAAAATAAATAAAAAATAAAAAGAGAGAGAGAGAAGGAAATATTTGTATTCAAAAATTTATGTCCTGACTCTTTGATAATCTTTATTCTGATGAAATAAATGTCCGTTGGTACCCTGTCAAGATCATGAAGTGAATGATTCAGAGGAGGCAATTTTCACATTCTTTTAGATGTAGTTAGCTTAGTCTGAAAGTAACAAATCAAAATTATAAAAATATTTTAGAATGCATCTTTTCATATCTTAAGTCATAATTACCTTGAATTAGTAGTACATGTCACTTTATAAACTTGAATGAATATGGTAAATGAAGATTTTTTTCAGTGGTTTTTAGAGGCAGAGAACTGATGATTAATTTTCTTTAAAGGATGTGGCCAGTGAAATTAAGATGTTCGAAGCATTAATAAAAAAGGATCTCCAAGCAAAGGAAAGGTGAGATGTGAACTGTTTACAGAATCACAAAACTGCATTCTATTCTACATATAGCTTTTGAATATTTAGAAATATTTTATCTGGAAGAGACGTGCCAAGGATCTTTTCACTTCAGAGAATCTTGATTCCGAGAGTATATTAGGGAAGATAAATGAGCTAAAGTTCAGATTGTTAACACTTTGATAAATATCTAGAAGGTGACTATCATGAAATATAAAGTTGATTTATTTTTCTGTGCTATGTTTATTCTTCTAAGTTCACACATATTTTTTAAACATTCACTAAAATTGTTTCAAGGTACCTCTAATTTAAATTTGTCATGGTAAAGCCTTTATTAGACTCTAGTTTTGTTTATATCAGGCTGTAGCCTCAGCAGTTAGCATAGGGACTAGCAGTAAGAAGCTGAGTGAATGAGTTCATTGAGCAAATGTTACTAAAACAGACACTTTGATGGGTTCATGGAACAAACTTACTCATTAATTGCTTTCATTTACCTAAAGATAAAGCTCCTTTATACTTTGTTTTCTATAGGGGGTCATTGATTCACAGAAAGTAATTCGTTAGAGACCACATATATAGGAGCAACTGGGTTTTCCTGCATTTTTAAATGGAAACTCTCCAAACTCTATGCATTTACATCTTACGAAATATGAGATGAATCTCTGTTAAAGAAGGTACTAATTCTAAAGAAAAGCAGAAACAAATTACATACTTCAGCTTCATATTAAAATTTTCTGAAGGAAGGGAGAGACAGTCAAATGAGGAGGCAAGGAAAATCAGAGCCATAAGGAAGAAACGGTGAAGTCAGATGTCAGAAAGAAAATCAAGCAAAATGGAGAACACTTATGTACATCACCTTTCCTCCTGCCCACTGCAGAAACTCCTGATGCCCTATTTTGATTCTCACTTCCATTTAACAGTGTTGCTCCTGACCCATAAAAACAACGTAATCTAGGTCTCCTCATTTATGCAATCACTACCTGAACCCCCTAGCACACCTACCCGGACCTTGGTCCATGAAACTACGAATTTCTTCTAACTCTTTCACTCACCTCTCTAGCCACAGGCTCTGTGATGATAAACAGCCGGTGTCCACCAGAAAGGCCATCTTAAACTACTGAAAACTTTGCTACTTGATGAATACGACTTTCTGCTGCTCCCTGGCCTGCCCCTTTCCTGGGACCCCTCAATTTCCACACAGTTTAGCAACCAGAGGTTAAGATGATGCACAGCACTGTCTTTCAGGCCCTGCAGCAGTATCTATTTCTATTGGTTGGTGTCCTTGCAATGTCAGCTATTAAATGTCTTAAAGATCATCCCTGTACATTGCAGCTGCAAACATTTACCTGTTCCCTATTGCCTTTGCCAACCCAACCAGACCTAGGTCTCTATCAGTTAGTTTTAGAACCCCCAAAACAACAGTGAATTAAATTAGAAGGAAATCTGCTTATCTCTCATGTAACAGAAATCAGAAGATAAGTGACCCATGGTGTATGCTGTAGCTCCAAGGTCGTCAAGGACTGAGCCTCCTCCTTTCTTCACTTTTGCATCACTGTCCTGTTGTGTGGTTTCCATCCTCAATGTTACATTCACGATACAAGATGGTTGCTGGAACTCTGGCCATTTGGCCCATATCCTATCAGGAAGGAAGACAGACAAAAAAAGTAGATATCTCCTATCTGAAGTAGCTTCTTTCAAAAGCCTTTGCAGAAGTCCCATATAACATTTCTGCTTATTCTGCTTATATCTTATTGTAGAGAATTCAGTCACATGGCCACACCTAGCAGAATGGGAAGCTGGGAAATGTAGTCTTTAACTGGGCACACTGTTTCCCTGCATAAAATTGGAGCTCTATTTTGAGAGAAAAGGGAAGGAAATAGTAGTGTCAGGTCCCTTTATCACAGAAACCTCCACTTGGTCCTGCCAAAGATTTCCAGCAGAGGGCACATGACATATTGACACCCTCACTTACAGCAGGAAGAGAAGGCCTGGGGCAGCTGAAGTCCCTGGGCCAGTTACCTCTCTGGCTGTGAACAGTTTATCTGAGAATCTAAATCCTTTCCAGTGTGTTACGCAAAGATGGCTTTCTCTTTCGGCCTTAAAAAGAAAAATGTTGGGAAACGCTGGCCTAGAGCAAACTTTTCAAGAAAACAAAGGCTATGGCTATGAAATAGGGCCCTTCTTAAGCCATTTCATTAATCACTACTTTTTCAGTTCATTCTGAATCTTAGCTTAGAATCAAGAATATTCTGGGCACATTGAGAACTTCACACTAACTTAACGCCAGAAGGCAATAAAATCTCCCAGCTTGAACCTCGGAGTACTTTCTGCAGCTGCCTCTTTCATAGTCTGCTCCTGAACAGTTTCTCAGGATGCCACCTTAAAGTCCATTGTTTTTATTTTGTGGAAGAATGAAATGATGCCTCAATCCCAGCAATGCAAGAGCTCTCATGCTGCATTTTTCCTACATAACAAGGTTTCTCCATGTTTTCATTTTTTAAATGACTCATAAATACTGTCTGCTATTTGTTTTCTTTAGCTGGGGTTATTGGCTTCTGTAATTTGGCATTTGGATTAATAGATCTATCAGAGGCTTTTCCCAGCAACTACTTTTTAAGAACTACAAATTTAACCAAGATCTCTGCTACTAATAGATTATACATATACGATTATTACATTTGATAAAGGTCTGGCAAGCAAACAGATAAAAAGAAAATATAATCACTGCCCTCAAGAAACCTACATTTAGTAAAATGAATATTTATTCAAGTACATAATGCGTAGCTTTTTTTCACGTTTATTGGAATAAGACAACAGATGGATGGGTTGACTGATAAAGGAGAAGCAATATGTTAAGTATATTATTGACAGCATAAATATTGTGTTGAGAGAGCTATTAACCCATGCTACAGGGCAGGGTCTTTTACACAACACACTTAGGTACAAATATAATAATATTTTTGATGAAAGATCTAAAAGTGTTTTGCTATGCAATTAAATACTAAATCTTAATAGATAGGGTTAAGCTCTGTCTTTGACCTTACTGAGTGCTTGGTACCTCCATAATTTGTGCTCAGCTCCTCTCACTGACAGAATGTAATCAAATGTTGAGCCTCTGCTGATAAAATGATCAGAACTTTAGTTTGATTTTTATACATGTATGGTGTTTTTTAGCATATTATTTGCAATTTAGCAGACACCTTCTTGCTAGGCATGCTAGGCACAGGTGCAGAGAGAAGAAAAATAGGCTATTTCTCGTATTCACTAGGAGATCAGCTGGGAGCAGCAAACCTCCAAATTATGTCCTATACTACAGTATGGTCTGTATTATAAATATGCAGGTATTACATCATTAAACATTAAATATGAGTTAACTGTGTTTTTTATAAGAATACTTGTGTCTATATGAGAATTTATGACATCTCTACACACTTTAATAATGTGTCCTTATTTTTCGAATAAGATTATAAGTAATGTTGTAGACCAAATATGTTAATTACTTGTAACAAAAACAATGATTATACGTAATATAAAAGTTCATTATTCCTAGGTGAATAACATTATGGTATATCTTGTATTATTGTATTCTTTTTACTTTTTGAAGAGGATGCAGATGAAAATTGATGATTATTTGATCTTTATATATATAAAAATATGTCTTTTAATGATAAATTTGGAATGAATCTATGAATTGAATATTAAGCCACCATTTGTCTCACTAAATTGAATGTGTTTAACTTTCTGTTGAAAAGACTACTGGGTTCTTCCTGATCCTTTATTTGTGGACATGAGATAAGACAAGAGCTCTCAGTTGAGTCTTCTGAGTTGAGTCTCTAGGACATGGGTAAGAAGACAGTTAGACCTGTGCTTATGTATGTGGCACGATAAGCAAGCCAACTTTCAACTCCTGTGTTTTCAATAAGCATTCAGCCACTATTCTAAGCCCTTAGAAATTCATCTGGGAGTTCATATAGTAACTTGCACTTTCATGGGTGATGGAAGAGTGTAGTAGATAGAACCATCTGCATGGAGAAGTAATCTCTAGTGACCTGGCATTAGTGTGCCTGGTCTGCTGTTTCAGAGCTCTGCCTTCCCTGACACTTGGGTTATCAATAGCCTGCCTACTGTTGATTCAAAACAGTGGAGGCTAGAGGCCCAGAGCCAACAGGAACAAGAGGAAAAGAAATCCGGAATCTCTGGATACAATGAAAATCATAAAAATTGACAGAACAGGCTGGTGCAGTGGCTCATGCCTGTAATCCCAGCACTTTGGGAGGCCAAGGCGGGTGAATCACCTGAGGTCAGGAGTTGGAGGCCAGCCTGGCCAACATGGTAAAACCTTGTCTCTACTAAAAATACAAAATTAGCTGGGCATGGTGGCATGTGCCTGTAATCTCAGCTACTTGGGAGGCTGAGGCAGGAGAATTGCTTGAACCAGGAGGTGAAGTTTGCAGTGAGCCGAGATTGCACCATTGCACTCCAGCTTGGGCAACAAGAGCAAGCTCTTGTCTCAAAAAAACAAACAAACAAACAAACAAACAAAAACGCTGATGCTAAGGACCTCACAGAAAGAGAGTTTAGAAATGGGGTGAAGCAAATGGGATCTGTCGAAAGCTAAGGGTATCACCCTGATTTCAAATATTTGCTTCAGTGCTTGTATTAATAAATTAACAGCGAACTCAAGGGATCCCTCTCCTGAGATCTTTCTCCATAGTCACAGATAGCGGCATGGGATCACATTATTATTAAAAATCTAAAATAAAAACTATTATTCTTAGTGCATCGAAGACTTCTTTAGATACAGCAGGCCAGACAGCTACCAATTTGTTAAATACTTACTCGGATGATGAGTACATTAAAAAAATCCAGAAACGCCTTGAAGAAGATGCTTTTGCACGAGAGCAAAGGGAGAAAAGACGGCGGAAATTGTTAATGGACCAGTTAATAGCCCATGAAGCACAAGAGGTAAGATATTTAGATGAAGGTTAAGTAACAGTGCTGGGAATTCTACAAAATGTAGTCTTCTATATACATAATATGTAGTTTATATATGTATTGTCTGCTACTCTTCATCAAATGTCATTTTCACATCCTCACATCATAATATACTAGTATATTATATACTATATATATATATATATATATATATACACACACACACACATATATACTAGTATATAATAGTAAATATACTAGAAAAAAACTTACCTATTTAATAAAGAATCTAAAATCTGGTGATGATTATGCAACATTGTGAATGTACTTAAGACAAATCTACACTTTAAAATGGTAAAGTTTATGTTACATATATTCTACCATAATAAAAAATATATTAAAAGGAACCTGAAGTCTATATCTGCCATGTGTACTCTGTTGTTACTTTTAGAGGAAACGGGGAATGAATGAAAACAACATGGAAAAATGTTGTTCTTCCTCTCCTTTTGTTCACCAGTCTATTCCAGTGGTTCTTAAAGTGTGATTACTGGGTGAGCAGCCACAGCATTGCCTGGGACTTTTAGGAATACAGATTACTGGTCCCCACCCCAGACTGGACCTGAAATGCTGGGGATGGGGCCCAGTGATCTGTGCTTACAGGCTCCCTAGGTGATCCTGATGCCACTACAGCTCAAGGATCGCCGATCATTTCTTACACTGAGCACATATTTATTGAATATCTATGCTTTGAGTACTTGTGATAGGCTCAGAGATATAACAGAGAGCAAGAATAACAAGATGCCTATCTCTCAGAGCTTTCTGTTTAGAGGAACATCTACAAACAGCAAGTACATTGGAGTGTGAAAGTGCTATGCAGGTGAAAGGGGGTTTGGGGGGAGTGACACTTAGGAGAAGTCCACCTGGCTTGCTTCAGGAGACGGTGTCTGGAGGACAATAGCAGAAGCATGGATAAGGGTCAGGAGTGAGCTAATTGAAGGTGGGGTGGTTGTGGTGGGGTAGGGGTGAGGGGCGGTTTCCCGGAGAGGCTGAAATGGTGGGAGGTGAAGTGTGTTTCCAGGCAAGAGACTATCACATGGAAAGCTCAGTGCTTTTAGCTAACTGAAAGTCATGTCATCTGGCAGGAGTCACCAGAGGCCAAATTATGTATGAGCTTTGTAAGATATATAGTAAGAAATAGATTTTGTGATTTCATGTTTGAATGCTAAGGGGAATAAGAGTGATCAGGTCAGACTTGCCTTTAGAAAGATCACTTTGGCTTTAATTTGGAGACTAGATTACAGACGGGCAATCGAAGTTCGTGGTTGCTGTAATTTGAGTAAGAGATTATCCTGGTTTACATTTAGTTTAGTGGCAATAGGGATTGAGATAAGTGGCTTTGAGAGTGATTTTGGAAGTAAAATCAATAGGACTTAATGATTCGTTAGACATGGGACAGTGAAAAAGTGGGATGAAAAGCCGGATTTCTAGGTTGTGCACCTGGACGGATGGAGGTGTAATTTACAGAGATATGGAAGATGGTGAGAGGAGCAAAGTTGGGGTGGATGGTGATTTCAGTTGTGAATGTAAATAGGACAAATATGTACGTCTAAAAAGAACATTTGAAGATGCTTTTATTCATCTACCCATGTCTGGTCTGTTTGCTCACTGAAAAGAAATAAAAGCTTCATATTAATATGAAGTTTATTCATGGATTCCACTCCTTTCTTAGTGAAAGTTCAAAAAATAGCTCTGGACATCTTTTTGTGCTAGAAAGTTATTTCTTCAAATTCAGATCTCTTCAAATTATATCTTCATTCAGTCAGTTTGGTCATCTTTTTTAATTAGAAGAATTTCAAATTATGAAAGCTAGATAATTGAAAAGTTGATTTTAAAATAACTACCCATTTCAAGTTTCATTACCTTGCAATGAAATTTTGGGCACACTTCTATGTATGTTCCAAAGTGCTTGCGTGTTGGCTGCAAGTTTTTTTCTCACTAGTTTTCTACTTATAATCTAGGCCTGGTGTTTGGCTGGAAAATGGAGTAAATGAATTCTTTCTGGATTTCCTCGCTTTCCACTAGGATGTTATTAACACTGAATTTTCACAACTAGAGTTGGAGATATCTTTACTAGCTTGGAAATCCAGCAACCTAAGGGACTTAAAAAAGAGTCAGGACTATAAATAATTTCCATCACAGAAATCTCCTCTTGTGCTGCTGCTTTTCTGTGTGTGGGGAAGCTGCTGTTCCTAGAACCAGGCCTGTATTCCCTCCATTCCCACCACCTGCTTTCCATGGAATTTAGTGAGCCCAGGCTTCTGTGCAGCTGACACAAGATGTTGGCTCACAGTCATGGAATGGAAAATTTTCATGTGTGCAATGGCTGGTTTTTCCATCAATTCTCCTCTCCTCCAAAGGAAAAATTATATATGTCAGGGCTAGGAATTCCTCTGCTTCCATTACCTGCTGCTTTTCACAAGCATGACATAAATCCCACGTCAACCCTGGATGTTTTTTTCTGATGCCTTTGCACTTAATCTATTAAAAATGCCTCAAAATATCTTCCCAAGTGTTCAAGTTGTTCCAGTTTCCCCCTGGAATTTAAGTATTCCTGTTTTGGTTTGGGTGGTGAAGACAGAGCCAGAGTCCTGTGCTCAAGTTAATATCTTGCCTACTGATTCATAAATATGTGGAATTATGTGAACTAAATGATGAGATTTAAAGTTAGAAAAATCAGTTTGACTTTTTAGAGGACAGGTTTTGAGAATAGGGATGGTAAGGAAAGGATTGGTAGAGAAGGCCTGAAGTTGTTCAAGATGGGGTGGTGTCAGTGGGTATGGAATGGAATGAGGGGTGGCTTAAAAAAGTACCTGGGAGGTATAATAGACTACTTCCTGAACAATTGAGTATTAGGAGTGATTAAGGGGAATGAACTTAGGATGGCCCTAATGTCTTAGATCACAGAGTAGATTATTGTAGGATCATCAACTGAGATGGGGAAATATGGGGAGAGGACCAGATCTGAAGGGGAGTTAGTGTGTTTAATTCTGGACTTTTTGAGTTGAAGTACTTCGTAGGCATTTAAGTGGAGATATTCAAACTGGGAGCACAATTTGGCTCCTACCTGGTTCTGTGGTCATTTGGCTAGTATCTTGGCTAGTTAAGATTTACTCCAAGTCAACTACCTCTGCCTTCTAATAATCTTTTCTATGCTATTTCTTTGGAACTGGCATTTGAACACCAGGCCCTTCCCTCACTTCTTAACTAGAATACCTTTGAATTCTTAGCTCTTAGTTCTTTCCTGCAGTGCCCTATTCTCTAGCTGCTCAGGCGTCTTTGGAAAATTAGGTAGTGGCTGTAGACCAGAGTAAGTTCCTCCAGTGTCTAGATATTTTTCTATGTCTTCCCCACTGAGTATTATAGATACCTCCTCTTTCCACATGATGTCTCTGTTTCGAAAGAGTGAGGGAGCTTGATAGGGCCTTGAATATCATCGTCTATCTAAACCCATCATTTTACCTGACAAGAAATAGGCCCAAGAAACTGAGTTAATTGCCCAAGGCCACCCAGCTTATTATGACGACCAGGTCCTTTGATTCCCAGTTTAACGTTTTTTTCTACTGTTCATTTACTGGTCACCCTTCTATTCTCTTCAAACAGCCAAGAATACATCTAGTTTCTGTTTCGGATTATTACCACTCAGATTTTTAAGATAAGCAGTAGGTCATTTCCCCCAGCCTCTTCTCCAGGCGTCATATTCTGTCAGTTTTTATTAATAGCTTTTCCTCACATTGGTATTGCAGTATCCTCACTAGGAACTAATCAGATCTGCAATCTTCAGCTGACAACGGCTGCATTTATTTACAACTAGTAGTAATGTTAAAATGTGTGTAACATAATCCTAAACTTCTGAAAACATGCTTTTAAATTCAGAGTTATAGCACTTATTTTTGTTTAACTTTTATTTTAAGTTCAGGGGTACATGTGCAGGTTAGTTATATAGGTAAACTCATGTTACGGGGGTTTGTTGTATAGATTATTTCGTCACCAAGATATTAAGCCTAGTATCCATTAGCTGTTCACTTGTTTTTAAAACCTTGAAAAAAATCACCTAATTTATTTTTAATAATATTTTGAATGAAGTAATAATTTATTTAAAGTGCTTGTAAGTTGCAAAATCATAACATTTCTGAACATGAACTTTTGTTGGAAATTCTCATTTCATAATTTGATTTTTTTGCTATGTCAAATTAAGTCAAATGACAGAAATTGATTTAGATGAACATTATGCTTTTGTATATTGTTTCTGTACAGGCTTCATAGCCCAATGGGGAATTTGGACAACACTTTAACAAATAATTGGCTCTTCCCCTGGTGTTTTCAGGAGGCTTATCGGGAGGAACAGCTGATTAACCGACTGATGCGGCAGTCCCAGCAGGAGCGCAGGATTGCTGTGCAGCTCATGCATGTTCGGCATGAAAAGGAAGTTTTATGGCAAAACAGAATTTTCAGAGAAAAACAACATGAGGAAAGACGACTGAAAGACTTCCAGGATGCTCTTGATCGAGAAGCGGTAAATACTATCTGCCTTAGAAATCTTTCTACCAAGTGATGGTAAACAAAGCTATATTTTGTTGCCAATCATCTAATAAGAGTTGATTTTTTTTGACATGATCAGCCTGTTATCTGCCCATTTTTACTTTTGTGTAACTCCATCAACAGGGCATATAGCCACTGCATAGTATGATACTGTCTTCCTTTAGCCTTGATTCTACAAGTAGCTAAGTACTTAATGCTCCACCAACCCTTATGTCCATGTCTCACTAGTCATTTTGATTGTCTGAAGCTCCTTCTCTAATAGATTTCTCAGGAAGGGCTCATGGAAACCATATTCCCTGAGTTCTTTTATATTGGTAACTGTGTGTGCCTTTTATACTTGATTGTAAGTTTTGCTGTGTATAATATGGTTAGTTCACAGTTTGTTTCCTTGAATATCTTAAGTATGTCACTCTGTTTTCTAAAGTGTTCTGTCAAAAAGAATAGTGATAATCTAACTTTCATTTCCTTGAGTGATTACTTTTTTTTTCTCGATACTTTTTTTTGTTTAAAAGTTTACTATGTTTACTAGAATAGGCATTGCTATTGGTTTTTCTAGGTGAATATCCTCAGGCAATGAGAGAACTTTTAAGCTATTTCCTTTCAACTAGACACCATTAGTCTTTAGTCAACAATTCCTTGCCTTCTGAAAAAAAAAGAGATTTCTCAGGCCCATTTGTGCTATTTCTTCCTCAGAAGAGAATAAGTCCTTTATCTAGGGTACTCTGGTACCCCGGAGTTGAGAATTGTATACAGAAACTCAGATCTAGGCTGCTAGCTGTACTCTTTGCTACTATGGTCTCATTGTGTCCTGGCCCTTTTATAACTCTGAAAATCAAAATATCCAATCTTTTAATTATTTAATAGGTTATTTTTGTCCCAAACTTTATGTATATGTGGGTTCTAGTGACAAAAACAGATGGATTTCATTAAAGGAGAATAAGGATTACTTCTTGTCCTCTTCCTATTGGGGATGTTTTAGATTTATTTAATTCATTAGTCCACATTTGATTGAAGAGAACTCATGTGAGTGGCATTTTAGATAGCCTATCTTTACTGTCATAAAATATTCACAAAACCGGACTGGACAGAAGAGAAACCTTATAGAAAACAGGAGGGTAGTGCTTTATTTACTAGCTTCATAGCTTCCACTGTGGTACCCCATGAAAGTGCATTGTAGCTCTTGCCAAAATTATGCAATTTTTAGAAATATCATTTGGGGGCCGGGCGCGGTGGCTCAAGCCTGTAAT